GAGAGTTTAATATCTGTTGAGAACTCAAGATTTGTGATTTTGCTTGGACACTGCCTTACAGTCACATAATGAAGGCACGTATAACGATTAGAACGTTTTGACGAAAAGTCAAAAATGCAAAGTCGTCCAGCGACGGGAGCATTTTTTTAATACTAAAGTGAGCATTATGAAGATGTATAGTCAGAATATGAAAATCTTGGGTTGAAACCTTGTTCACCCACGTCATAGCATCCGCTTGCACCGCGATAAGACGATAGTGTTCCAGATTGCTGTGACGATCAAGGAAAAGAGTAGAAAGAGATTGTAGGGTTCAGGGAAGCTTATAACGAAGACTGAAGAGGGGAGCAGAAAGGGTTTGAAGGGTGCAGGGAAGCTATAACGAAGACTGAAGAGGGGAGCAGGATGGGAGGAAATAGGGGAGGAGGATAGGGATTTGTCACAACTTGGTACTGGAGGAGTTCCTGCTTCCAAAATCATTAATCGAGAACAATAAAATGGCTATACTAAATCAATAAAAGTAGATGGGAGAACTGATTTCTTAATATGACTTTTTGTAGCAAAAGGAAATAAGAAAAGCGACTCACTGATTCCATGATTCATGAGCATATGATGATAAAGGTAAGCATCACTAATTCCACATTTGACAGGATGCTGCTCGTCGCTTATGTGCGATACGTTCATGGGCACCTGCAAATGAGAATATAGGTTACACACAGTTATGTAAAACTTAGACAGCATTCGAATAATAAGCACATTTTGATATAACAGCCTTTTGAAGAACGACAACTCTGAAACAGAAAGAAAGAAAAGAACATTCACTCGCCTGCTTGTATACAAATACGATGGATCCATTTTTGAACAAAGTAGTTTGAAAGGTAAACGATCCAGCTAGAATTAGCACCGATAATATTATGATAACTCCTAGCTTTTTAGGAGTGATAAGCAGTACCCTGATGCTGCTCTCTTAATTGCACTTTCCTCCACTCCACTACGAAACGTTCACCATCATCAGCGTAGAGAATACTTGAACCCTAAAAGAAAAAATTAACTCAATTTTTCAATAAGACGAGTCGCCATTTACATCGAGCGTTGTATCAAAATTGGCCATCAAAGGAGCGATATACTGCGTAGCAGCAAGCCAGTTGTGGGTTTGATCACCAACATAGAGAAAACCTATAAAGGAGAGAAAAATATAAAATTAACATATATAAGAAATCAGAATATATCATTCCGACAACCTCCAGTAGCAATTGTGAGATTTGCCATCATATGGCCATAGAAGGGGAACTTGAAGCTAAGTTTAGCCCCCTAAATGTACAAAAAGTCAGGGCTCGCGAAGCACTCCAAATAAAAACAACTGAGAGTAAAAACTAACAACGGCTCTGCGGTAAGTTCCAGATAGAAGCGGATGGCTAGCGTTTCCGACAACTCCTGGTTTCTTCAACATTTCGTCAATATCGACCCAATATCTCTTCGTTTGATCAGAACGGTTTGCATAAATAGTCATCAGGTAGTACTGGTGGTCAACCTGGAAAAGGAAACCAGGTAAACAAAACGTAACATTTTGAAGAAACTTGGAAAAATGTTGAAATGAACTGAAGAGACAATTCATCAGACCGGCTTTCTTTTTTTGAAAGCCTGAAATATTTTTGGGATATTAAATGCTTCTCATCGTCTATTTTCTTTACCACCAGAGCATTGGAAAAAATGCATGCTGACAAGGATATCTAAAGAAAGAAATTTGTGAAAGCCGTATTTGAAGTGATGATTGTTAGGAATTGTGATTTAAGCCTATAGATCTCATCCCTTAACTCCTGTACATATTAAAAAGTGAATAGACCTTTATTTCCAATTTCTAACTTCTTACACTAAATTGCAAGATATGTTGGGATCTATAAGTTAAGAATTTAAGTGTAGTGTATGCTCTTGATAAGCGTAATCAACGAATAGCTAATGAATAACGCAATCATAATCTCAATAAGTATCGTTTGTTTTGATTTCCTTGACGCTTTTTCTGAAAATGTTAGTATGTGGATATGCTCATCTAAAGCTTTTTTACTATTTCCAATCGCCCGTATGGATTGCATGAAATCAAGCTTATCTATGGACAAAATCTTCGAACAAATAACTGACAGACTTTGACATTTCCTTAGGGTATCTCCATACTTCATAAGGATCAGCCGATCCTCATAGCGCTTAAGCGCCATCAGAATCGGCCGATCGAGGGTGCGCGGCGGTTGCGTTGCGGCCTAATAATGATACTAACTCACACCTTTCCGAAAAGACAACCTGCCCGCGAGGTTACACCAGCCTTACAAAAAAAATTGAGTGTATTAAAAGTTTGTATGATATCGCGCTACAAAATTATAAGTACATGGAAATTATAGCTGATGAAAGGAGAACTCACAGTATTGTTTTCTTTCTCCACATCTATATCATCTGGAATATGCGTGTTCCACATATCCGGTCCTTCTTTCTCATCACCTCTTTCTTGAGGCAAAATGGAAGAGGCTCGTCGAACTCGCATTGCTGATCGCGGAAGTAGTTGGAACATAGGTGAAGTATCCTCATATCGGAGATATAATGGTAGACCATAGTGCCCTAGATAGCACGCTTTTTTACGACATTTTTCTCTTAACAGCCAAATACCACAGCTTGAAGAAAATAAGAAACAAGAGTTTCCATTCACCTGCATTCGCATCAACAAGGACGCTGAAAAGGAACAGATAAAGCAGCCTCCAACACACACCTTCCAACATTGAAGCTTTCGTGAAATACAGTCACAGAATATTAGTGCAAAATGTACAGAAAATTAAGATGTGCCTGAGAACGCGGTCATGTATAAGCAAAATATCTCGAATTCCCGCAAATGCAAAATATAATGTAAATATGCAGAGTAAGAATACATTCTCGACAAAACAATGGCAAAACCATATCAAAATATTT